ATTGCACAATTCACTCCATATATGCACTCGTCTGCGGCTCGTGCATATATGTCGTGAATTGTGCAATATCTCGTGGTATACCCGCCTTCGGCGGGGGTTATTGCTTAAATAATGCATGACCCTACTTTTATGTTGGGGTGGAAATAATGTCAAAAGAAAATGTCTGTGATATGTTTTTGACTCGAAGCACACAATGGGAGTTTTTGCAGTTACCCTGTCTGTGTGTGTGTGTGTGTGTATGTGTGTATATGTGTGTGTGTTCGTCTGTTCCACTGATATCTCAAGAACCATAGATCGTTTTTTGATGAAACTTAGTGCATAGATGCTCTGGGCCAATGCACAGATTTGATTAGGTTTTGGTAGAAATCCATGCATATTGAATACCTAATTTGCATGATAATTAGCTCATTTTTAGCTGTTCCTTGACTGTTCCACTGATATCTAAAGAACCACTCATCGGATTTTGATGAAACTTGGTTCATAGATGTTCTGAACTAATGCCAGGTTTTTATTAGTTTGGGTGAAAACCTGTGCATATTAATTACCTAATTTGCATAATGATTAGTACATTTTCGGCTTTTCCATTGATATCTCAACTACTAATCATCACATTTCAATGAAACTTGGTACCCAGATGTCATTGGACACTGCACATCCCTAGTAGTTTTTAGGGTAATATCAGTACCAATTTGCCTAATTTGCATAATAAATTAATTTTCAGCTTTTGATATATCAAGTAGTAAGCATTACATTTCAGTGAAACATGGTACATAGATACTCGATTGTTTTGGGATAAATATTTGTGCATATTAATCACCTAATTTGCATAATTATTTTAATTTTCAGCTTTTTAACTTATATCTCGAGTACTAATCATCCCCTTTAAATGAAACTTTGTACATAGATACTCTAGGACAACGTAGAAATATGATCAGTTTTGGGTTAAAATCTATTCATATAAACTCCGTAATTAGCATAATTCATAATTGTTTGGTTCTGATCACATATCAATGAAACTTTGTACATAGATGGTCTGTTACATTACGCAGACCTTATTAGTTTTGTGGTCTGTTCATTTTAATTTTCTGATTTGCATAATTAGTTTTCAGCTTTTCCATCAATATCTCAAGTACAAGTAATTTTGAATTAATTTTTACTGTGTCTCAGCACACGGGAGTTCTTTCTAAGCTTTCTTTGATTAACATTTTAAAACATGTTTAATATAATATTTTTAGTTGATACATTCTTGTAAATGTGGGAGTGAATTAAAGTTGTATTATCGGTTTAAGTTACTAATTTACCGACCCCATTGCAATAAATCCCATCATTCATTGCGGTTCAAATTCTTTTGGGGAGCGTGTTAAACATTCGCTTATATGCTTCAGTACCATAAAATACCATAAAAAGTAAAATACTCGTCCTATAAATAACAATTGAGGGAATAATCGTAATGAAAAATGTTTGTGTAATATATTCGATCGTCAAACATGTGTTATTCGATGACATGATAACACTGTAATATGCTCAAACATAAACGAAGGTACGGAACTTCGGAGTAGCATTTGACCATTGGCAAGTCTGATATCTTAATAATCCCGTAAATGTTTTATTTAATACAGTACAAATACTACTTAACATGTCAAAGACTTACAAAGATTTTATTTTCCGGCAATATTTAAGGTCTTACAGTATTGGGGCAGCCAATTTGCAAACTCGCTAGCGAATTGGCTAACTGCTTGGGTTTTGACTAAACGATTGGCTTTCGCATCTCGCTGGCGCCGACTTGAGATCGCGTCCACTCTGGGCGAGTCTATATTGCAGTAGGAGACATAGAATGCTTTTTACGCAGCCTGTACATGTC